GTATACTGTATGTAGTCAAAAGCATAAAATATAAATAAAGGAAAAATATGTTAAAATTGTAAAATGCAATACCTCACTTATAATATTCTGTTCAGTTCTGGTCCACATAATACAAAATATAAAATGTTCCTCTGAAATCTGCCTGGAGAATAGAGACCAAGTACATTCCCAAGCTCAGATGAATGTCCTACTCTAATGGACTAAAAAACGAATATTGTTAATTTTGAACAAAGAAAACTAACAGGGTACCAGTCATAAGTACAGTATTTAGTATCTCTAAGGACATTATGAAAGTCAACCCATTTGACTTCTTCAAAATCAACAGCGAAACACAGAGTACAGGAATGGACTACAGTTAAGTGCATTTAAAATGAAGGCACTGCTTTGCAAACCTTGTTATCTAAACTGATGCCTTTGTTTCTTTCACAAAAGGCTAGATGTTTCTTGAATCACTTACAGTACCTACTCAATGCCTATTGTGCTAGATATGTCAGTGACCTCCTCTTGTTTACAGCTTTTATGCTCTTTTGAATAACTGCAGTGTATGCCAAAGCTGAGGTGAAGTGAAGAAGTGTGTTTCACGGTGATGCCCGTCTGTACATCACATTGTATAGCTGTGTTTGGTCAACTGTGGCATATTTGCGTGGCACAGGGACCTAAAATAGCAAGAAGCAAAATCCATGCTTATCCTCTTAAGAGTGGTAAGGTTATGTAAGATTCAAAATCTAACATGTTAATTGTCATGTGTCATTCAAAGATACTTGTTTGCAAGGTATAATGTTACTGTTATTAGTAAGCAAATTAAACCATGTAGTTTCAGAACAATAAACCCATGTTTACTCACATTTTTTACACAGTTAACACCAGAGCAACATTTCATATGAAAACATGTTAGTTCTGTTTTCTTTTTTACAACCATGTAAAACAGAATGAGAACTTACTTCCCTATATAAATAGGAGATCACATGCAGTAGAAGTGCTGGGAAGCACTTGCATAGTGTGTCCAACTGCCACCTACAGGATCATGGAAGGTTTCACAAATTACAGATGGACTTATGTACGACAGTGTCCAATGTGTGGATATATTTAGCAGTTTCATGCACAGTGCTCATAACTCTATAATAGGATGTTTTATGCATATTGTGCCTCCACACATCTATATTGTTAGATAAAAAAGCCAGAGGCTGTTGACCTATTTTGTATTATCTGCATGACCTATTTTATTTTGGTGAAGATGAAATCAGTTCTTTGCAGGAGAAAGTTGGGTGAAGATCTGTGTAGCAATAGATGGATAAAAGTCTGATGAAGATGTAAAACAATCCAATTAATTAAATCAAAAGAGAGTTGTTATGGACTATGAATAAATTGTTTTTTTTATTTGAAGCATGCTGTTGCAGTGACTTTCATTCTAAACATTTTCATATTCACTAACAATTAGTTATTTTTACAAAACAATTGTAGGGTATTATCCATTTTCTTTTATTGGAACGATATAGCAGTTGCAGTTTGCGTCAGCTTATAAATATCTCTTTCCAATGTGACCATTATTTTAACCTGTGTCTATATGAAGGGGAATAATTATTTTTCTTTCCGTCTGTTTTCAATAAATCACCATTTAACCCAGATCACACGTGTAATAGAGTTAGGCGAGGCTACAATTTCTGCCCCAACCCAGGAGAAGATGACGTGTCCTTTGAAACGTGCATGGTCTGCTTCTTTTCAGTCTGCAAGCCTGATATGCAAACAGCATCGTTTTCATATTGAGTATAGAAGTGATGCACACTGGTGCCACCAAAATGGCAGAGGCTGCTGGCACTCAGTTATCTGAGGATAACCTAGCCAGGTCCCTTTCTCCATCCCCGTTGGTCCTCTAATGATGATGCATCACCCAAGGTGCTGGCAGCCACTGTTAGGCAATGGCACTGATTTAGATTTCAACTGCTGACCTACTGTGTTTGCTATAGGGAACATCTTGCATTTTACTAGATCAGCCAGTCAAGTATTCCCAACTTTTTCTGTCATGAACTATTCTTTGGCTTTTTGTGTTACTGTGATGTTTCAAAATAACACGAAAACACCGACTAAACGTTTGTCCCAGTCAAACTCTTGCATCCTGATGGATTTTTATATTGACTCAAGAATGATGTAAAGAACTAGAATTTTTCCAATATGGTGATGGCTGGCTTATTAATGTAAATTATTTCAGAACTAAAAGCATATTATATTTAAGTCCATAGGAATTTTGGTTTGCATTAACCACCTGGATTGTTGTTTTTGTGTTATTGGGAAGCAATTTGCCACTCTATGGGGCCAAGCCTTTCATAAAAGATAATGTGGGTGTGGTTTTTTTAGACTACTTCTTTTTTGTCAATTAAGTTATCCATGAGAATAAAAGGTCTATGTACAGGCTGGATAAGTGCAATTTGTGCCAATTCTATTTTCAATTGTCCTTGACACTGGATTTGCAGTTTTTAAAAATAACAGCCTGATGCATGGTAAATGACTTCTCTATGACCTGTTTTAGTTTTTATTATGCCTTACTCATCTGCAGTGTCTGTTTTTTGTTCTTATACTTGCCATTTTAAAAGACACTCCCTTGTAGAGGTAGAGAAAGAGAGTTATATATTTACATGTGCTACCAATCTACGGAGCAAATGCACTGTAGAAAAGAACCCACAGTTTATCCACCAATGTAATAATACATTCACAGTCTGGTATCCATTAATCATATTGTATGCATATGAGGTTGAATATGTCAGCTCCTCAACAGCACAACATGTTCGTTAGTAATTTCTAATGTTTTCCAACAGGAAAAATGTTGGCATTATCAAAGGGGATGCGTTAACCACTTCAGAAGTTAAAGCCAGTGATCTCACTTTTGATTCAGCTGTTTCACTGGTTTATTTTTAATGTGCAGCTGCTTCTCCATACATCAGAAATCAAAAGGTCCTATTTTCCTATTTAAAAAAAAAACACAGAGTAAATTAAATGACTAGATTGAAAAATACCAAATAGTGAAATCGCATTTTTCTAGTTTTGTGACTTCCTTTAAAATACTATCCCAACATATTTTATATTATTTTAACCTGTCTATGATTAATGAATTGTTTTTAAACTCCAGAGGAATAGTTTTTAAAGAATTGTCTATAGGAGTCTGACGTGTGTTAGATCCTTAGCTTGCAGTTCTCAAAAAGATCACAAATTATGTGTTAATCATGAAGAAAGGACATACTATACACTTATTTAGGTGTGGGAATGTGGCAGTTCATTGGTTATTTCTTTATCTGATATGACAGGATTGTGTGCAAATAGACACTGATGTTTAATTCACACAGACTATGCTGTGTTGATAACAGACTAGTTAATTATCAAAGCTTAGGTTGCAATATGAATATAAATTCCTATTTATATCATTAGGGCATTAGCCCTGATGACCATGATTTCATTCTCATGTATAGGATAGAAAGATAATGATTAAACAATCATTATCTGTATTTATAGAAGACCCTTGTACTTAATGTAAGGTCTTTAAACCAAAAAATAAATGATAAAATGTATGGTCACCAGTAAACCAAAATCATTGCCATTCTTCGTATTAATTTTCCTTGTTTTATTATCCTGTTTTCCCTGCAGTTTTTCCTCTATTCAAAAGTTAAGATCCGAATACCCTTTCAACAAATGAGATTCTTCTTATTTCCAAAGACAAGCTTCAGTACATATTATTAAATCCTTTAAAACTGAACACCTGCAAGGGAAAACATATTTGAGAAAAACATGAACTGATACCTGGCCACGAAACAAAACTGTCATCTATTTTTTTCGGGGTGGTAATATGTCCTTTAACTTCAATACCTGTCTTAGTCAGGTATTATACCATATTCCTAGATGACTAGTAAAGACTGATCATTAAATTTCCACCATTTCATTGTCCTTTATTCAATTGTTTTAGGGTATTATCTTCAATATTGTGTCCACAACTGAAACAAGCTCGGGGACATAAACATTAAAACAAAACTGAAGTTTATTAGAATGACAGAAATAGCGACACTGTATGAGAATTTGATTTGCTCCTTAATGTGGAATATCCCTTTGGTCGTTGTGTTATCATACATATGAGATTTTGGTCTTTATAAATTCAGTTACACCACAATGCTAGATTAACACTTGCCATTGCTGAATATTTCCATTTGTTTGCCGTCTGTCTTTCTAAGCAACCAGAATGTTGTACGAACACACATAAACCATCAGAAAGCAGAGAAAGTGATAGTTTTATTGTCATCCGAGTATTAATCAAGGGCCAGTTGTTTAACGATGTCTAAAACATACATGAAGTGAGTTTGTATGTATTCTTATCGAAATTATTCAAAAAAGTGTCCTTTTTGATGGTTTCAGCTGTCAGAGAGATCACAGAGAACTTAGACAAAGAACAGTGGAATATAATTTTAAAATAACTTGGAACCATTGTAATTTATTGTGCATTGTAAAGCTACTCGGTCATGACCTTTGCAAAGTTCTACATGAAAAAAATAATTTAAAAGCTAAAACCTTCCAATTGAAAATTTTTGTTTAGTAATGTGATTTGGTTGTATAGCAAAACTGCCAAGAGGCTGTTGGTTCTTTCTTCCTATAAGTTGTTTCTTTGTAGTCTTAATTTAATCTCACATGCTTGATCTTCCATGATCTGAGCGGTTTCCCTCATTATATCTCCCCCGGCAGTCCAAAGCATACTGCACAACTTACATAATGCTGGCACAGTCCTTCATAAAGTAAGGCAGAGGACCAAAAATGTCTGACTGTTATTGGATACCCTTTGCACACTAAGGTTGTCTGCCAAAGTATAGGTCAAATGTATCTGTTACAAGAAAATGCTCTATATCTTACCACTCGAGGTCATCAGTCAAAAATAAAGACATTGGGAGAACTGGTATCTTCATAAAAAGTATTTTCTTATACATGAGCTATTGATAAACAGCATCAGTTTTAAATGAGACAAAGCAGGCTACACTGTAAAATGTTATTTTATGACAACATCACTCTTACATATTGTTTTTTTTTACAGAATGGACTCCTTTTTTGTAACATCAAACAACTCAGTATATTTAATGGCTTTTTTTTTCAAATGTCTAAATTTCTTTCTCTGCTGGATGTGATACTGTTGTTGAGAATGACCACTGCTGATATTCTTCTTTTAGTAGACAGTGCCCTTTGACCTGCTGAGGCAATGGAATTCAAAACAAAGATTAAAATTCCTAAAGGATGTACTCATAGTACGTCGATCTAGGTTCTGCTCTTGAAGAACATGCTTTTTTCCTCTTCAAAGTCCTACTTGTTTCATAGATAATTATATCACATACAAAACAAAGAAAAGTCCATTATTTACATCCTTTAGCCCACACTACAACCACAGGTCCCCATATTTTATGGTTGTGAGGGCCATGCATGTTTATATGTATGCCAACAGTGATATCAAAAAGCAGTCATCGCATCTTAAAACCATATTTTGTACGCTCATGCGGTCAAAATTATAGGAGTGGACATTCTGGACATTTTCAAAATTCCTTAAACGTTGGTCAGGTCAACTCAGGTAAAAAACAACAACAACAAAAAAAAGCTGTCCATTAATTGATTATTTAAGGGTATGAGTGGTCCACCATAAACTGGGGTTTTCAAAAAGCATATTCCTGTAGGGTTTTCATTCCAAGGCATACATTATTGTTTTGATTCTTTAAAAAAGGGTCACGAAGCAGTCACCTCTCGTGCGTTTGCTCACAGTCAGTCACAGGGAGTGTCTTCATACGGGCCTGTCCACCGCGTATTGGCAGGGGCTCAGGTTGGAGACAGGGTTCTGCACCGCTGGGTAGGCGAAGTTGGCGTGCTGCTTGGCCTTCAGCCTGAGGCTGGCCAAGCTGGAATTGCATGTGTCTCTGTACATGTAGGGACTGGCGGTGGTGGCGTAGGGGCAGGCGCTGGCAGAGACGGCCGAGTTCAGGGTGGGGCTGTTCAGGTTGTTGAGATTGCCGAGGTTGTTGAGGCCCGAGCCGGGCACGCCGGTCACGGCCGAGGGCACCATGGAGGACGCCATGTTCATGGAAGAGATGGAGCTGGGTGGTGAGAACATGGGTTGAGAGGAGAGAGGGCTGACATTCATGGAGTTGAAAAAGGGGAAGCTTTTGGCAGAAAGTGGGCTAGTGGCGAGACTCTTTGTGGCCCAGTTGTTGTAGGAGTAGCCTGAGTACATGTCATCATATGGCTGCATGAGTCCATTGAACTGGGCCCCAAAGCCATTCTTGCACAGCTCTGCCTGCTGGTTCCGTTCTCTCTTCCTCCACTTGGCCCGGCGGTTCTTAAACCACACCTGCACAGACAGGAAGAAAGCACAACACACCCAATGTCAGCCCTCTCACAGAAAGTGAAAGTTCCTGTTTTAACTTTTCCAAACGAACACTTGTTCGATTGGAACCTGTGAACTCAACAGAAGTTGGAACCTGTGAAGCTGAACATGGCAGAAACTGAATCAATGCAGTTGTACATACAAAGTCACTGAAGTATCTCACTTACGGTGATGAAACAATAAACATACTGAGCATAAAAAGAAACTTATTTCATAATTGTAATAAACTCAACTAGCAATCAGGAAAAGGACAAAATATTTTGTAGCCCATACACTGATAGTTTATTGAATACCTATAGGCATTTTCAAGTTTACATTTGTCAACCATAGATAAACAAGGGATCTATTATGAAAGCCACAGGCTAGTTCAGTGTGTTGACCACTGATGGAAACCTGCCTCTCATTTGTACAAGGTTGCAGATTCTGTCATGCGGGATTCTACCTCACTCCTTTGGAAAACCCATAACAAATATGTGCCTCTTCACAGGACTCAACAGTTGTTATAAACCTATATAAAATCCGCAACGTTCAGATTTTGCATATTCTCTGGCCCAGACCCTCATGGCTCAGACTGAAGGATAGCAGGCAGGCCGTGAAGATGAGATTGTTGGAATTATTTTAAATATGCTGAAAGGGGCAGCAGCAGGGGAGGTGATAAGGGCGACAGGGAATTTGAAATGACAAACACATAGACAGGAATTGACATCTAGTTGCACTATATATATACGGCACATAAATTAAATGATGTCTGCAAGAGGGTGTCACTTCAAAAGAACTAATGCATGAATGGCAAAAATAAAAACAGAATACATCTGCTGTTGAACTGGTGTTGGAGGACCAGTAGATGGCATTCTTTCCTCTGGACCAAACATTCCAAACCAGCAAATGACCATGATTTGGGGAAGTTTTTGAGATCGATGAACTCTCCGTTTGGGAGAGCACTCCTAGAATATTCATTGGGGTGGTAGGTGCTATGTAAGTGTCATGTGTCATCAACAAAGATATTCTGATTTTTGCACAAAGTCTTGAAAAATGTGCTGAAAGAAATGAAAAAACGTTCAAGGTTACCAAATATTTCTGTAGCTATGTTTTTTGCAAGCCAAAAGTGGGATAAAATGATCAATGAACAATCCACCACAAATGCAGCATAAACCCCAGAAAACAACCTGGGTTGAGCTCAAACCATTAATCAAATATGTAAATATATATACATGCACTGTAAGACTACTAAAATGAAGGGGGAACCTTACAGAATACATGACAGTATTATATGGAGTGAACCCATATTGTAAAGAATGGTGTTTAAAGTAGGAGTGTCTTCAGCTGTTGCATTCTCTGTTACCAGACAACAGTTGCCTCATGAATGATACAATGCAACTAGTAACCATTCTACAAAGTCTTCGTTTTATACTTTCATTTATACACAGAAATAAATCCACTTTGACTGATGAGGACTGCATATTGATTTTTATTAAAATCACTGAGAAGGTCTTCCATTCCTGAGAGCTGTACCTGCTCACTGGAGTGCCTGAATAAATAAACAGAGGGATGTGTGAACTTTCTTTGTTTATTAAGAGTCCTCTCTGCCATTCGTGTAACTCAAACCTCTGGACTGGGTGAAACAAAACCAAAGTCAGGAGTGGAGCCCTGTTAGAACCTGTGCCGTACAGCCACACAAGCTGCATGTGAAGAAACTCTCTCTGTAAAAACGTGCATGAGATAAGAGTCATCACAGTTCTGGCAACAGCATTATAATGAACACAAAAGAAAGAATGAGTCACAAGTGCACCTTTGTAAGAGGAAAAAAAACACAGGTGATAAATTTGTCCGTACTACCAATAAACCTTGTGAGTGCTAGTAGATTGCTATCACTGTAAGCCAAAATGTATTTTTTTTAATTCAGCTGATAGTTAAAACAATTGTTAATTTCTGATTCTAATTCATGTAATTACGACAGACATTTTCTAAAATGTTGCTTTACATGGCTATTGAAAGATTGCATTTAATTAAAAATATTAAGTAAAAAAATATTGAAAACTCATTATTCCACAATGTATAATATACTGTATAGACTATTAATTCTGTATAAAATGCGTGGTATTCCTGGCAGTTAATAGTGAACATGCGCACACTTACAGGTTACTGTTCTAAGTTTAATCAGAGTAATATCACATTTGCATAAATATGCAAGATATTGAAAAAGCACATGACTTTAAATTTGAAATCATTTCTAAAACACTTCCCTTGAGACTCTGTCAAAAATAATAATAAATCCATTAAGTAAAACTGTATTATTAAATAGTCATGTCGAATGTAATTTATTAAAATTATTAAATTCAGAGTTAACTTCAGAGTTTTTAATGAAAAAATGTCAAGCAGAAACTGTTTTCTTCTCATTTTGTCGACTCTAAGACCCTATTTTTAGAGAGCACAGAGAGATTAAATTTATAAAAGTAAATTTCAATTGAAGAAATATTTAATTCTTTGCTCAGAGAAAGATCTATAAAATATATGAACCATTTTCTTCAACTGACATTTGAGTTAGTGCATCTTCTGTATACGTGCAAGTGTGGAGCGAATCGGCTGATTCCTGCAATATATGACTCATATAAATTATATAAATGTACATTTTGTTCCAGATTCAGAAATACGTGTTTTCTATTGAAAAAACAGTATAATGAATATCAGCTGCACTTAAAAATGTATTCCAAATCATTATAGCTCTTTTGACCTATAAGACACATTTAAAGAGATTACAGGGCAAACTGCTGTCCAATGCATACTACTAAGAAACAATTCAAACCAATTTGAACCCTCTTCATAGCCTCACTTACTTCATCTGCAACTTTCAAGTTAATGTCAAAGGTTTGCAAACCAAACTTCTACTGATAAAACCTTAATTTGTACAGATGATTGATCCATTTTCCTTTTAAATCAAGTCCAGCAGTTAGGGTTTATGTTTCCAAACTAAACATAACTCTTCTATTTTTACAAGTGAGGTGTCAGGAAATGTGTTATTGCACGAAACAGAAAACCTTTGCAGAAAGCCACATGCAATGTGTTCTGCTATTATGGACTGATTTATCTGTTAGTTTCTTGTGAAGGAAAAGCTACATTTTGCTTTAAAGCCAATTTGCCTATCCAAAACACTGCAAAGCAGGGCAGTAGCATATTAAAAGACAGGCTCAATTGTACACATTAAATTACAGTATGCCATTTGAATTTAAAAGGATAGATAGACTTTACTGTAAACCTGTTTTCATTCATACTTTAAAAATATAATTTCAAATCTCTAATATATAAAATATATCACCCCTCTATCATTAGGTTCCCAAAACCTTACATTTTTTTCTCAGTGTATTAACATTTGGCTTTACACTTCATGAATTCACTTATCTTGTGAATTTACTGAATTATTGAACCAGATTATGTTTTCGATATATTGCTGCCTAAGTGGAGCCGCCTGTTTATTTACGCATTATAAATCATAGTACCATAGATCACTTCTCCATTAAAACCTAATGTGAGATACAGTATATTTTCAGTCTTTTGGTTCCTGGGTTTTAGCCATGGTACTTACTTAAGAATAGACCAAAAGACCGTAATGAGAGTAACTTCTTTGCTATTCGCTTCTCAAAAATATTGTGTTAGTTTGGTTTTCAGTCAGAACACACAAATGTATATTCACAGAAGAATGTTAAAACCGTCCACAACACACATACTGAGCCTTATTATCACCTGCAGTGTGCTCATCAGCAACCTGAATGCCCTCAATCTCAATCTGAGAATTTCAGATTATCTAGCTATTTGTTTTGAATTGAGGGTTCCAGTATCAGCTTGCAAACATAAGCATAATATTAGGTTTCTCAGCAGCAAGTCCATTAATTCAGATTTGTTTTCCCAATCCATTTAGGTTCTCTTGACCCTCACTTTTAATATTTTCATGCCATCTCGCCTCAGCAGATATCTGTGATTACTAAAATAAAACCCACATCCTATTCTTTGGATCATAATTCAGCAGTCTTGCTTTCTATAAGATTTGCCATTCACTGTCCAATTGTTATACATTTCATCAATGAATCATTAGATAGCTTGTAGTTACTATCCTCCTCTTTAAAAGTAGAACTTAGACTCCAGCCATTTTTGGCTGAGGCTCTAGAACGTGCTGTTGCCATTCAGTTACAAGATCATTTATCTTCCAAAAATGTATCATAGACCATTAAGATTCTTGTGCCATCTCTCCTCACAGATATCTGTGATCACTTAAATGAAACCCAGCTCCTGTTCCTTGGATCATAATTCAACAGTCTTGCTTTGTATATGTTTTGCAAGATCATTTATCTTCCAGAAAGGTATCATAGACCATTTTAATCTGTTTTTGCCATGCATAGCATACTGTACTATGGGAATTTGTGAAAGGGTGACATCTTGGAAGACTGACTGTCACTAAAACAGTATGTAGATACTTGCACATTTGCGACTGTATTCCCCTTTTCTTTTTCTTCAAAAAGTGTCTTCTTTTTATCTTCAAAAGTTGAAACCTTGGAAAAAAATCACGCATATCCCACTAATTCTATCCAACTGCATGAATTCTGTTTTTTTCCAGTGTACCCTTTGAATTTCCTTTCCACTGAATAACATTCACTTGAGGGTGCCGTTGATATGAAGTGCTTTCTTACCAGATATCAAAAGAACGAAGAATGTAATCTAGTTTATTTTAATATAGATTTTCAAAAAATCAGGTGACTTTTAATGCAGCTGTATTATAGTTGATCTTTTTAATTGGAATATTTTTCCAACAGTGTCCATAAACCATCAACATCTTTCTTCAAATTCAAAATCTGATTATATTTTCTCCTCTTCAAGTAATGCAGTATGCAATGTATTATTTCACAGTCTACTGAGACTACTTTTATTATTTTTAGATTGAAAAGTAATCGCATTGTACCTGTGTATGATTGGTCCATTCCTAATTTATTTGTTTCTCAGTTGATGTAAAAATCACACTTAAATAGAACAAATTCCTAATATCACAATTTAATAAACACTGGAAGGGGAGCTTCGATGATAGAATTTCCTTCATGTATTACAAAGTTGGAATGAACTCTGTGACCATGTGGTCAGGATTAAATGTCACTGGAGGTTTAAGATTTTACTGTGCAGGCAAGTGCAATTTGATACGTATTTGTGCTTAATATCCACAAGCGTTGTCTAGTGTTCACTCTGGACAGCGTGCAACAAAACTGCAAAATCACCCTTCCATTTCTCACTCTTTGTAATCTACAGGGTCTGGATGTTTTTTTTTAGGTTTGTTTTTCTTTCAATGTGCAACATCTGTATTTCCTATAAAAGTGCTTTTTCAAAACAAGTTTACAGTTCCAACAGATTGAGCCAATACAACAAGAAGATGTAATATTGTAATAAGAAATACGAAGGCCTACAAAAAACAATTATACTGTATATGATGTTTAAATCAAAGGCTTCAGACAAATTATTTTAGTGCCTTGGACAGTTTATCTACAATGGAAAGTAAATGTAAATGGAAGACATTTAGTAAAAATAACGTCATCTTACAACCTAATGGTACAGTATAATTAATATTATACTTTTAGATCAGTAGCACTTAAATCACTTAAAAACGGTCAATTTTTTAAAAAGCATTATTTTGAAGTAAGAAAAATTAATTCACGACTTAAAAAAAAGGTTTTGACCATTTCTGTCTGAATTCCAATTAACTTCCTCTAGCTTCCCAAGACCTATTAGTACACTCTTTAATTTGTCTCCACCCCACAGTTGGCTATTTATAAACATTAAACCAGACAAAAACTAAAAATCGGTCCACTAGAATCTCATTCACTAGTAGAGCCCTTTTTGAGATCCATCCATCCATTTTCTAAATCCTTCATCCAGTTCAGGGTTTTGGGGAGTTGCTGGAGCCTATCCCAGCAAGAAATGCGTGCAGGGCAGGATACACCCTGGACAGGATGCCAGTCCATCACAGGGCAGACAGACATACACTAATGCCAAAGCCCATTTTCCAAGAAACCAATTTACCCATGTTCCACCTTATTTGTTAGAAGGTCCTAGGATAAACAGGCCAGAACCATTTATCAAGTAAACAATTACAGCTAAACAACTTGAATTTCATTTTAAATCAAACAAATTGACTTAGAGTACATGACATCTTATTGTATTTACAAAATATTGAGGCTTCTTAAATCAACAGCCTCCTTTAAGTTCCGTGGAGAATAACTGAAGCAATGTGGTACATAAATTATTCTTTTATAAAGAACTTTGTTTCATTCAAATTCATAAAATGTGCATATAATTGAGATCTTAAGCTGATGTGCTAACTGACTGTTCCATTAAAATATTTCACAGCCCATCAATCACCTAGTGGCTTGCAGTTTATGGAAAGGGACATCCTTCATTATTGCACAGGCTTCAGTCACTTTACAAATGGCCTGTCTATATTTCGCCAGGGCCCACAAAACATTGTGTGGCAAAAAATCCTCTTCTTAATCAGCTTTGATTCTTTTGAAATGCCATCTTTTCTGCATTAGTAAAAAGAATAAGATCAAAGATAACAAGAAAGCAGCACATTACAGGAAATCTGTAGAATGCAACCGATTGTGAGTATTCAGTCTTTTGTCTTGTCGTTGAATGCTTTGCTTAATGCAGAGGGAGTTCTTCTCAGGTGTGCCATGGACTACAATTCTGAGAAACAGTTTTCTTTATCTATCTGTTGCTTCATAATGTTAGTAAATGGGCAACTCTGTATTCTTGATGTCTTTGTTGATTTTACTTCACACACATCCTTCAGATGTTGTACTGTTTTACAGTATATGGTGGAGATGTATGGCGAGGGTTTTGCAACATCTTATGCCCAACTGGGATTACAAAATGCCAAAGTTCTCTGGCATAATAGGAATTTAAGGAGCTTCTGTTTTGGTTTTCTCATCCATAAAAAACAAGATTTCATACTAAATGACCTTTCATATGGATAGCATGAATCTTTTCCACTGGTTGTCAGGTACATCGTGACATAAGATAAGATATACAATTTCTTGCATTAGGAATTTGTCTTTTCCCATACCCCAGCTTGCTCTCCATGAGACACAGAGGGGGAGAGAGAAGCTTGGGGTCAGAGCGCGGGGTCAGCCATTTATACAGCGCCCCTGGATCAGCTGGGGTTAAGGGCCTTGCTCAAGGACCCAACAGAGTAGGATTCCTCTGCTGGCTGTGAGATTTGAACCGGCGACCTTCCAGATCCTTAGTCACTGTGCCACTGCTCTTCCCAATTACCCGAATTACCCAAATATCATCCATCAGAGTCTGCTTCAGTACTATGAGTACACCATAAACTCATAAAAGAGAGGTAAAGGTAAATAAGGTAAACGGAAGGCCTAAATCTACTGCATGCATCCATAGCTATTAACTGTGGGATGGGTTCATTGTAACTATGTAGTATATACTGTCTTTAGATGTACTGTGGAGTCATCATTGGTTCTGGTCACACTGGAATGACAAAATCTACCCGAAGAGCACGACGAAATGAACACTAGGAAAGTGATCAGGAGTTCAAATTGAACCTTTCTGAGATTAGGTTTAATTCTCGAACAAAACTGCCACTCACTGTCCCAGTGCTCATGAGATTCCTGCTCCTTGAGTAGGATACTGTCAGAGCCACTAGTGCCTCTTCAGGGCCAAACTACCAAAATATGATATACTGAGCATCAAAAGGCACTATCTGTTAGAAGAGTACAAATGACAAACATATACTGCTGGAGTAGTGTCACACCACAATGAGCCTGCAGGAAGAGGTTCCAGGACTTGATCATTGTAGTACCATGCAGTCAGGTTGCCCTCATTACCTGTGTAGCTCTAAGACACTTCTGCAGAGACCATCACATCCGGTCCTTCATTAGCATTGTTCTGCACGTCTCTACCACACTTGCTAATATAGTGTCTGTAAGGGTGATCTACACATGATCTTGGTTCATCAGTTCAACAGGACTTGAGTCCACCTGAGATATTGCTCCAATGTAATGATGGCATGAAGGTACTGTTCTCTTGCTAAGTGGAATATATCGCTGAGGAGTGAGTTGGTGCTTATGCAGCAGGCAAAGTAATTCAAGTATATAAAGGCCAGTCAAGAATTATCAATTAGTTCAAAATGACTGCAAATACACTCATTCGATATTCTAAATTGTATACTTTACTTTTCTAAAATCATAAATGCATAAATAGAATGATGGTTTTCTTTTGATGCTCAGTACACTCACAGTGGTCAGATTGTAGTTGTTAAGTCACAGTATAAACCCTAGTATACATGTAACATATGCATACTAGTATATAGGTGAGCCCCAGTATAGTATATACAGAGTTCTGTGTGAGTGGGGAGTTGGGGGTGTAGTGTGTTACTAACATCCAGGAATGCTCAGGCACAAACAGCAGTGTTACAAACATGGCAGAAACTGCATTTCATATTACCCTGAGAAGGAAGATTGGGCTTTATATGTGTTTGTACAGTGATACACATATAAATAAGTATCAAGCACATGTAACACAAAACAAAAAATGTTTTTTTTTTCTTGCTCACAGGTAATTGTAAGGAACCAAAAATTAATTTTGTTGTCTCCATGTTTACGCCAGTTTCGAAATTTCATAGAATCAGAATCTTGGTGAAAATGTTAACATGAATTTAGAAAGATTAGATCCATTTCTTGTCACTTAATTCCCACACTCTCCTTGGGGTTTTCCAGTGTATGAATGTGCCGGGTTTTGGCAGGAGTGTCTGCAAGGAGTGGGTGGGTTTTGGATACAAAATCATGGTGACTTCCAGGGGATACAAGGCATCATGAAGTACAGGATTCATCAGAAGAACAGTATGGCATATTGTTTTATACAGGCCCATTTTGAGTAGTACTTATGCAAGCACACACATCAATTCATCTATCATGGAAGAATAATAAGTTTCATTTCTTTTTCAGTAAAAAATTTTAAAGGTGCATTTTAAACAGATTTTATTGGTGACAATTCTGTGGTAAAAAAAAAGAAAGGCCGTGCTAAGTGTCTTTAAAAGGCTTCAAGCTGACCAAAAAAGCAGGAATCTGTTTCAATTTATTTAAAACAGGGTAATGCAAATTAGCCTGCAGGCCCTCTGGAACAGGCTTAAAGTCTTGACAGTTTGCTTTGTGCTGCCAATTTTCCTCTCCAGCCTTCCCGAGTAATTGGACTCTCCACTCTTTGGAGTAACCAAATATGACGCCATTGTAATCTCCTACAATTAAGGCAAGAGACAACCAAAAATAGATAAACAAATGCTGCTGGGAAAAACCACAGCTAGCCTTGCAATCTAATTTAGGTCTATATACCGAGAGCCATTCAAATACAATAAAACAATAGAATTTAATGCTTCACGGAATACATTGGATATAGAAACTTAATTTTAAAGGGAAAACTAATGTTTAACTTTTTTTTCAGATAAATATGGAAAAGTACATTAAAGAATGAAAATCAACAATGATATTTCAGAAAAAAAAACTAATATCTGAACGTTATGGCATATACAAAGCAAAGTTAACAAAAACGACCCAGCGTTTAAGAAGATAAAATAAAGTGTAACATATTAGCACAATATTCATGTGAATATTCATTCACAGAGCTGATGGAGAATTTGGAACACCTATCCACTGTACAGGAGTCTGCTTTTATCATTGTCAGAGACCAATAATCTAGAGCAGAGGTGTCCAGTCCTGCTCCTGGAGGGCCAGTGTGTCTGTTATGTTTTTCTTCCAACTCCACTCTTAATGAGTTTAACCAGCTGGTTCCTGGCCCAGTTTAACAGCTTCTCCCAGCTCGTCGGGTTTATAGAGACCTTGGAAACCCACAGAAACATCGTCTCTCCAGGACAAGGACTGGCCTGCTCTGATCTAGAGGCGTCTGTTTGGTGTGACGTACCCTGACCCGGGCCTCTGTAAGGTTCGTCCACACGGCAATCTCCTCCCTGGTGCTCATGTCCGGGTAGCGGTTCCTCTGGAAGGTGGCCTCCAGCTCCTGCAGCTGCTGGCTGGTGAAGTGGGTCCGCTGCCTCCGCTGTTTCTTCTTCAGAGAGCCCTCCTCCGCGTTCGACTCATCCGTCTGATTCTGGTGGGACTTCTCCGTGTCTGGCACGCAAGCAAACATCAGTCACAACCAGGACTCCCAAACCCACACACACACACAAAAACATGGTTCACGCTCACGGAGTTAGCGATTTCAAGTTTACAAAACAAAGGGTTGTTTTTTCTTTATTTCACTGAAACTGTAAAATATAAAAATATATTTTTTTAAAAGGAAATATAGCACATATAATGTAGTATATAATATAAAAGTACGTAATATAGTATATAATATAACAGTTTATAGTGTAGTATATCTTATAATAGGATATAGCATAGTATGCTATAATGCTTAGTATGCTGTGTGTTCCTGGTCAGGGTTAAGGCAGTCTGCCGGCTGTATTGTAAGCACAGGACTCAAGATAGAACTACATCCTGGACAGAACACCACTCACTGCAGGGCATGAACATAGACGCACACAAGCACACATGGATAATATGCAGACCACGATTACTCTGACATCTAGTACATGTTTGGAAGGTTTGAAAAAACCAGAGCACCCAGCAAAAATCCAAGTGAGCATGAGGGAAACATGCAAACTCCATACTGAGGATCTCCCAGTCCAAACATCAAACCCAGGACTGAAGAACTGTGAAGCAGCAGAACTAACTACCACACCAGCAGATGTAACTACTTTTTTTAAGAATAAAAAGTGAAATGTCATCCTCTACTTAAGATTCATTTAATTCACTGCTTTAATTATTCAGGAGCCAACGCAAGGTTAAGATTTAACATGAAGGATGTGTGCTTTAATCAAACATAAAGTCATCATTCAATAATGGCTGCTTATATTCAATTATTAATTACACTTCGGTGTTAATGAAGGGTTCTTAACCTAGTTATGCATAGATAAATTTAATTTATCAAGACAGAGATGTTATTTTCAAAAATGTGATACAGGTCTTAACACAATAGCTTATGGTATGTCAGTCCAAAGTAATATATAGCTTAGGATACATAACTAGTTTTATCGCATCTGTGTCGCATCTGGAGTTATTTCTGAATTATACAGAAATCGGGAATTTAGCGATGTATGAAATATGGGACATATTCCCTTTGCTTGTCTGAAGCTTTTGTTTTCAACGTTTGAAATGTATCTTATTGTTAGGTACGTCCAGAAACTTTGAGAGGAATTTACATCAATAAGCTGACAAATTCGCCGTCATTAATTTCAGTTCATTTGCCCTCAAAAATAACACTTCACTTCAAACATTTTTTTTGCTTCTGTAATTCGCTGGATTGCTAAACTGTTCGTGCTTTTGAATATAGTTTATCTTTATTTTAATGTGTCCTTACTTGTGTCTGTTTCGGAAAGTATGTCTTTTAAATGATTGCTGCTCCCGGGCAGCATATTTATCATTTTAAAATAATGGTATTTAAAAATACAACTTTATGTGTGGTCCCGCATATGCCAACGGTCCCGGAAACGAATGGGTATAAAAACATAAAAAATGCTAGAAACTATCTAAACCCATCTAATCAGTTTGGTTCCTAGTAGCTAACTGATCCACGAACCCCATCCAGATGCCAGGGTATCGGCTTCAACAATTAACTGGATATCTCCTTCCAGACTCACACCCCACAGTGTCAGAAAATGCTTCTTGTTCTCGGTTTTAATTGTGCTTCGCTGTTGATTCTGCAGGACTCCATTGCGAAGTTCTAATTAAACTTTTGCTTTGTACTTTTAGTGTGATTATAGTAAGAGCAGTATACAGTAGTACTCAATGATGCACCACCGTAAAGGGCGTAGTTCTTCTAAAATCTTTTTGTATTTAAAAAACAAGTTCAATGGTGCTCAGTGAAACTTGTCAACATGTATTAATTCTACTTGTCCACTTACAACAATAATTACTTGTATAGATCATTGAGGATACTAACTGTTGCCATTTAAATTAACAAAACGAACATCTTAAATACTCTATAGGCTGCAGCACTCGAATAATAATGCTGTTGTAGCTCATACTGCGCAATTTGACAACACCACATTTTGAGGCAGCTTCAAAGGTCAACATTACAATAAACAAACTAATTTATTACCTTGTATACTTCGTACTCGACTACATTTTCCTTCTGTGAAAATAAACTACATTTCCACGAGCACAATGGTATAATAGTTCCTGTAGGAAGAGCCTACGTTTGTAGAGCAATAATAACAATAACAGCCAAAACAGACCTTTTTTAAATTGTTGATTTCTTAAAATAAAAACATCTAATCACCATAAAAATGTAGGCCGGTAATAGGATTATTTACACGGGTAAAACCATTTTTGCATACACCTGGTACTAGTCGCTAACTTCAAAGCCTTAACCTTCATGTGGAGACACACGCGCAGTTTATTTTCTTAACAGAAATTATACGAATACCATAATATTTGTATTGAAATAAAATCATTCATTAAAAATTATTTACAAATGAAACTTCTTGTACCTTCAGAAGCCACGTCTCTTGATGCACTCACAGAGTTACAGAGTCCACTTGGAATTCTGCATGATTCTTCAACCACTGACATTTTTCCCCCAAGAAGAAGGACGAAAATAATCTCTAATCCCAGATGAACCAAACAAGGTTGCTGCAAACGGCGAAGCCAAATAGTAAATGTTATGTCTGCTAAACTCCTGTCTCTCCGGATCCTAGCTCTGCAAATTGAAGACCCCACAGAAAGAGCTAAATTATTTCGGCACCTAATCCAGGGATCAGCCTTTTGTGACAGGGCAGGTTTGGGACTGTTTGGCAAAGGCTTAGTTCTTTGGGAGCAGTTATAAATGATCAACGTGGTTCAGAAGACTTCATAGCCACCTTTAAAGCCAATAACATTCAAGCCTTCATGATGTAAGCCTGTAAACTGACACTGACTTAACCTGGGCATTCTTTAAAGCCTTTTCCCCTTTTTTTCGCATATATAAAATAAAAGTATTTTACATCATACAAGAGCGCGCACAGGGTGTGACATATGCTTGAACACACTGTAATTGCTTAAAGGAAAGATAACCTGTAAATACCGGGAATTGTGTTTTCAAGATAAAGCCAAACGGAGAGATTTTCCTGTGCTCCTGTTAAAACCTGTAAGTATAATTGAAAAGGTCTGGACAATTTTCAAAGGATTAAATGAGTAAAAAGTGCTGCAAATTAGTATCTAAAATACAGCTAAATAGAAACGCACTTATCAGACATTTTTAAAAAATACAGTATAATCAAGTTTCTGAGTTATAAAACAAAGCATTTTTCTTTTCACGTGTGAAAATACTTGACGTCTTCCTCAATGTAAATGAAAAATAAGGTAATGTGAAGTTAAATATTGGGTTTTACACATCATACGAATGTCGTGTGTTTAGTCTAAATGTAAATATTTCATTGTTATAAACATTTTAAAACATAACATGACCATCTATCTATGCATCAACGAGAATAAAAAAGCCATTAAAAGTTTCATATCTCGATATTCCCGTCTTCCTAAGTAAACCAGAAGTAAAAACAAAGAAGCATTAAATGATTGTAATTCTAGTTTATATCAATACAGTATGACTGTCTGTTTATTTTGCAAATATGATATATGCAGTTATGCAACACAAAATATTTTGTTGGGCGTGGTAAGGTAATTATTTTGTATCTATTGGTGGAACATGGTTTAACAAGATTTTTTTCTTAACGTTCATAACGGCTTTCAGCTTAATATGCATTTCATATGTTTTGATTAGTTTGTTTCTAATAACGTGCGATAAAAATATGGCAAATTTGAGATTCTTATTTTAATCTAATGACTTTTTCTTCACTTTAAAATTACAGTACGTCACTACGCCAAACATTCGTGGTTTGTTTCCTTAGAAATCAACATAAAGATTTTTTTATTAAAAACAAAAAAGGCAACTTTTAAAATACATTAATCTCCATATGTTATGTGGTTTTGTTTTTGCGCAATGATCTTAACTCCATAATTAAATGTTTTAAGAAAAACAGGAGTCATCTTGATTATTGGCGAATACACAAGAGGAATCATTGAGGATACAAAATAAACACTGGATATCTGTACCCAGTCAAATCGTTATCAGTATCAGTGTGTGTTGTTATTTTACATTTTCTTGCTTATTCTGAAGTGCTTTACCTGTTTTAAGAATATATTCCTAAATAAAATAACAAAATATTATTTTAGCTTGCCTGGTTCTCTTTTTTTAAAAAGAGGAATATTTTAAACATGGAGCTATGCATAAACACTTTTGATGTTAAAGAAGTGTTGTTGTTGTTTTTTTATTGGAAGAAAAATAAAACAGTAAGTATAAATGAAACATGACGTGACCGATCACAAATATTTAAATATATATATATACGTTTTTCTACTTATGTCGAAAAGACATAGACTTGTGTATGATAAACTGTATTAAGCACACCACTCAAAGTACATTTTAGTTAAGAAGTGCGTATGAAGAGGTTGTAAAATGAATTAGCCCAAGTGGTCTACGTTCAGAACAATCCAAAAATACTTTACTATCATATCATCTAAATGGGATCATCCAAATAAATATTTGCGTGTAAGCTTACATTATCCTTCCGATTACAATAAAATAGCAAAAACCTACATACTGTATATGGATGTATACATAAGCTACGACACTCTGGGTCTGAGATTGCTATTTTTAAATGTTGCTTGAACAAAAAAAAAATATTATGGTAGATGCTAAAGTAAATCACTATCTATGAACAATGTTTGTTAATATATCCTTTATTTGAAGAAAACTATATATTTATATTACATTTCGAGAGGTCTGCTATAGAAGCAGGCTGGGTAATCATCTCGATCATGCAGAAGCAGCTTGGTGGAGATGTGACAAGTAGTGTAACCATTCATCGTGTTTCGGTTTTCTTTCTGTGTGTGAGAGAGGATGGGCATGGGAAAGACTTGAGAAGCTTAAAACCTTTAAAAAACTTTAGAAAGGTTTCCGAGAGTAATATTTCATAGGTGTATGGTTAGCTTTAATATCTTTGAAGGCTCCACCATGTTCTTCTGTATCTCAACTAACTTCAGTTAAATTATTCTACTTTTGGGAGGTGCAACAATTGTGCCCGGCTGTATGGTATACAGAATATATGTTATAGAGTCTAGGGCCTATACCGCTTATAAATCGTTGGAAAATACGTTTTTATACATTCTATGGAGAAACCTACAAATGCGAAGTTTTGAATTAATGTATTATAAATACATTATAATTACATGGTACATTATAAAATACATGGTCGACATATGTTCTATTTGGATTTTGTTGTTTTAAGTGCAATATTTGGACTGTTCTACATCGCAAATTAGAGATTATTATTAGTAGTAGTAATAGCTGTTGTTGTGTGGTTGTTGTTACTGTTGTTTCTTTTCGTTAGATGTAAAAAAAATAAGGTCCCTCCCTTCATGCTACAAAACATTGAACTGTATTATGTGTACGATTCGGCAAGGTATAAATGCTTTATTTTTTGGATCAAGGGCGTCACATCTTTAGCTAGATAATGCTTTATTCTACGTTATATTAACTTCAGAAACCTAAGGATTGTTTCTTATATTTTAATTCATAAAGCAGTCCTACCTTCAGGTTGACACCAACCTGCAGTCAACATAGACAACTGTAAAATAGTTTCCTAAGACGACTTCATTTTTACTGCTCGTCTTGAAAATAACACGTAATAATATTATTACACCGTAACGATAAGTGTAACAATATTTTCAACTAGCAGTAAATATTATACGATAAAGACACGAGAAGAAGCTGCAAAACATACATCACTTACCAATTCATCTCTCCTCTACATACAAGTGGTATCTTGTCAATAATAACAAAATACAATTTAATATCTTCCTTAATGGCCTATCAAGGACCTCTGCATTTCCTAGAAAACTAGGTTTGACTTCCTAGCATAGATTGTCTCGGCTCTAGAATTTGTGAAGGCTTGTTAGGAGGTCGATTTACGACCGCAAACTCCGTCGCCAGACTCGGTTGTAATTAAATCTGTATTTATCAACTTGCTTCTGCGAGTGCGCCTTGCCGCCCAGGAGAGAAACTCACTGGAGAATAGTATCACGTTTGGAATTTTGTTTTCCATACGTAAAAAAAAGACCTTTTCTTAGATTTTTCCCTCTGAATTATTCTTTATTTTCTAATTCAAATAGAAGAATCGAAGTATTTGCACTACTAGTAGTAATCATTTTAGAAAGCGACCTTCACGCTGCATGTTCTGAAGGCGAGACAAAGACTCAGATGAGAGACAATAGAGGTTTTTTGTTACAGTTTTGTGATGGTTTAGATTCATTGACTAGTGTGTTTGAAGTTCGTCTATCGATTATATTCACTTTAAAGTGTAGAAACCGCACTTCCTACAACTTTTCAGAACACTTTTGGCACTTGTAAAATATCAGATTAAAACCCTATATATCCTATCGTAAACATTGATTGATACAGAATCCCCCCTCTTTCCTGAATCAGTTTTAATTTGGACAACTTCTTCTTAGTGCTAGTTTTTGCAAAGATTTATCCGGGAGAGCCACAGTACATATTCAGGTGTCATCAACAGAATATGTGTGCTATGTTAAAGGTCCTTAGTGGATTATTTCTGTTCATTTGAGACCTTTAAGTGTAACTTCAAAGCGTCTTCTACCATTAGAGGTCCACACTTGTATATTCGCATACAAAAAAATACATGGAGAATATCTTAACTACCTTGGAAACCTTTTCATTGCTTCATAATATTTTGTTTCCGTCCCTCGTTATCATTCTCCGTCGTTTACATTTAATCCCAAATCCAGACAGCTAATGAAACACGCGCATGCATTAATAACTGCACCTTTGTAGTCGGCTTACATTAAATCACGCTTCGGAGGCCTAATTTTGAATCGCCTGATTCTGGATAATGTCATCAATTTGTCCGCATGTTCGCACTATAAATGTTTGCTTTTCCCGTCATCCAGCTTCATCAGTCTCTCAGACAGCTGGAGGTGTGATTTATCTGATGGGACAGGAAAAGGTAACGCTCTTGACTAATGATGTAGACCAATTCTTTGATTCCTACCTCCATCCAAAACGAACTACACGCAGGTCAAATCCAGTAGCTGCATCTGGATTACCGAGGTGGCAAGGATAGGATTTGCAAGCAATGGGTAAACAGCAGAAATCACTGAAAGAATGATTTAACACATTTTAGGAAACGGGGCAGCGTCTGTGAGCGTTTTCAACCGTTTTGAAAAAGAGAAGGATAGTGTGTAGATCTACTCTGTGTGTGTGCCTTTCAGCCCAATCCATTGCAAAACAGAACTGCAACGGACATCTCAATTATTTAGGCCTAATTGATGATTAGCAGGATCAGTCTAGCAATCGAGGCGCGATGGAGGAAAGACCACCAGGGGAGCGGCCTTAGGTAGCTTTGTGCCTGGTGCACCAAACCTTATATTTTCCTAAAAGCATACTGCAGATTTCTATCCCCGGGTTTCACGGAAAAGACATACATTTTTCACTTCACGTCTTGTAGCGGCCTATGTAAAATCAACGCTTTAATGGATTTAAAGTAGAGTAGAGTAGAGTTGATAGAAAATGCACGTAATTGTGACTTTCTATCAACTCCCCAGTGAGAGTCATGTCCTGGAAAGGGGTTGTAGAGCTAAGTTTGAAAACCCCTGTCCTGAGAGAAATGTGGATTAGGTGGTTACAAGGGGTGCTTCAGTCCAGAAAAGCCGTGATTCAGCCTATCGATGTTTTTTTTTTAATAAGGTTAAGGTCATTTCAGCAAGATTAAGAATGGATTAAATAGAAACTGCTTAACTGTGAATAATCTATTAATATACATTCTTATGAAAGTAGGTAGCCGTGTAGCCTGCAAAGGAACAGGTAAAGGTTTATTCCATGCTGAAAAGAAAAGAATAACAACGTTTCGGCTGGGGAGCCTTCTTGCATGGACTAAACCTTTACTTCTACCTTTAGATTCTTATTCATTTAAATAACCATCACGATGAAGTTAGACAGGAGGGAATGAGTTATGCATCTCTTAATTTTACAAGCCTTTGGTCTGCAATCTGGATGGTAAATCATTTTTCACAAGACAGCCTTTCTTTTTCTTGAGATTTATTTTTGTTTGCAGTATACATTTTTGTCTGAATGTATCAATCGTAGCACCTGAAGACGGTTAATTGTGCTTGGCTCACCGCCTTTCTTATCCCATTAGTTCTGAGAACTCTTAAGTTTTTTTTCGCTCACCTAGAAACTGAATATCTCTCAAACCTTCTCATAAAACCTCTCTACAACTTGACCGGATTTAATTACTAATTGTTTTAAATATTAGGGACATACAAAATAATTTATATTTCCCCTAATATTGAACCGTAAACTGAAGCACAGTGGCTACACACGTATTAAATGTGATAAAAATAAATGTAACCAAAAAAACCTACTGTTGTCTTTGGTATGGTTGTTACTGTTTTCTCTAATGGAACAATTCAGTTGTACAGTGCTTTTCCAAGTGTTTTGTTTAAATACAAGACGTGAACTGACCACTGTTTTCTTGGCCTTTGCATCCCGGATCGTGTTGAGGGGTTCCGGAGTCCGAGAGCGACAGCGCCGGGCTGCGAGCCTCGCTGTCAGTCAGAAGGTTAAAATCCATAACCGGCGCCACCAATTTCTGTAAACGGCAATGCGGGACACATCAGTACAGACCCCAGCACATGCGAGAAGGAACTGGCACAAAACAGAATTTTAACCTGAGGTCAACTAAGTTTTTTTGGAGGGGATCTTAACGTAAGGATGGTTGGCAATCAAAATTCCTGATGCCTTCAGACAACAGCACATAAATGCAGTCCCCGAAGCCTACAGTCAGTTTTATAGGTATCTACAAATCATCATCTGTTTAACTTGGACCAATTAAGCAAATGCGTTGGTGAGCTAAGTAACCTGAGACCTCCCGTGGATCCAACACCAGAAGGGCCCTACATTTGTGCAGCTATGATCCCTCGAGTGGCGTAGTAGTTGAGTACTGCTGTATGGGGATCTAGGGACTCAGCTGCCGTCTTGTAACTGAAAACATTTTTAAGGCATCTATGTTTTTGTAGCAACAAACGGCAGTACTGTTAAACATCTCATGCATTGCTTTATATCATATACTTTATAACATAGTAAAGAATAGCGGAGGACGTTCATCACAGATGTCTGGTACGTGTTATCTTCTGAGATGTACCGTGTATGTTACTGTACATTAATCTCTTTGTCGAGCAATCAATGCATGTTACATTAATCTCTTTGTCGAGCAATCAATGTAGTGTGACATTTATAAGACATTTTCTCCATGTTTGTTAGAATTATTAATAGAATGTAATAATTCCGACAAAAGTGTGACTGAGAAACATTGGCACTGAATACTGAACATAGAACAACAGCTTTTCATTGAGCCAAAAAAAAAGCTAAATATTACTCATTCAGCCTCTATCATAAAGGAACTTATTCGTTGAAAAGGCTGGCGGAGACCCATCAGGGTATGAGGGTGCAAGACAGCTAAAACTATAAACTTCATCTCATGCACCCTTTACACCGTCAGACAGAAACCCCGCACCGAAGTGACGAAATTCTTGACACCCCGACACCCCGAAACACAGGACAGGTAGCTTTTACAGAAATGAACCTGTTGTGCGTCACTGTAAAATGAAAAGGTACCTTAGTTGTGATGGAAACAAACACAATAAAATCGCTTTTATACGGTACAATAATGATTATCTGGCATTCATTTGAGAGATTATTTTTTCAGAGAATAAACCTTGTCTCTTTAGATCTACATATACACTTTTTTCCTCTGTTTTGTAATAGTTTCCATGCATAGTTTTGTTTTGCTAAACATAGATTAAGCTGTTAAAACATTTTCAACTTTGCAAAAAAATATTTGTACCCTAGTGTGTGAAATCGGTAGGTTTACTTTTAAAGAATAATATTAAAGATCACACATGTAAAGAAATAAGGGTAGTTTCAGATCTGTGCTTTCAGGGGACCGAACTGAGCTTTAACCTTTAATTAAGGACAAACTACGCAAAGTTCGCACAAAACCTCAGAACCCGACCCAAGATAAGGTGATAATGCATCTCTAAAGGCTTGTGACCAATGGGCGTTGTCTGAAACATAGTCAGTGGCATGAGTTTCCGCAGGTATTATCATATAACAATAATCTAAATGAACCCGAGGATTGATGAATCAAGGTCTATTTGACTTGAATGATTAGCCTAACAATAGAAAATGCACACTGAATACTGATCTTCTAACAGCGTCCGAATAAGAAAAAAACACCGGTGAACCCACGAAAATTGCAAATTTAGACGATGAAAGTACGGAAAGTTTGAATGGTCACCTATAAAACGGAAGAGCTGCATCTCACTTCATACCAAGCACTTCTTTGTTGTGATATATTTAGCGTTCGTAGTAATAGCGTTTGGATTTATAGGTGGTATTTAAGACTGAAATAGCAGCCTCATAAATGTGGTTGATACGTAACGGATCCTAAAATAACAGTTCGTTTATTTATATAACGGCAGTTAACACCTTCCAGATATAGGAACTGAACAACTCCCTCAAGATTTATCCAGATTTACAGTAGCGATTCTGAGCTTAAGGACAGAGCAGGTTTCAGTCTTGTTAAATCAGTACGGCTACTTTGTCTTCTGGTTAATCTAGTGACCCATGTAGATATTGGATCTAAACTTAGTCAGCTATCCAAGAGATGTTTCCAGGAAAAGACACTAGGCTAGGTGTTAATGGGGCATGTTGATATAATACTAATATTTCTGAGTATTTATACATACGATTTTCCAAATGTAACATCCAGATATAACTCCATTTTTGAATGGAATGTTGCAATAACCTATTATATCTCATGGGATACAGGGTTACAGATTCCTTATGTCTAATTCAGTACCTCTACACCCCTCAGGAGGCATTCATAGTTGATTCAAGCCTTGATTTTTAGTTGAAATGATTTTACAATGAATAACTACAGAACATCTCATTTCAATAAGGTGAGAAAGGTGAAATTTGAAAACTTGTCCAGAAGTAATTTACAACTATGTTACGTAAAGCAACTGATATCCCAGCACTCTTAATATGTTTACCCCATTCTGAACTGCCTGATACTGTATAACACAAATCTTGTGGCAGGCAGTAAAAGGAAAGCTACAGTTGTTTGTTCATAAAGAACATTATACAGTAAATCCTAATCACTTGTTACAATTTCCTCCAGCTCAGGAGTACAGTCTAACTGAGGTCTCTAAAACCTAGTTTGGATATTCTGATTTAAGATTATTAATCTTTAATGAATCTATTCAGAAATTAAATTTAAATGAATTATATGTACCATATTGTACAGATTCTACATGACACTAATTGAAATGAAGGTGTGAAGAAAACTGAATAATAAACTTACCAAAATAGTACGGTGCTTGTAATGATTAAATATAAAAATATAACACATGCCTGCCTCTGTCCTATACACACACTAGGTGATATGATAACACATTCTGAATGAGAGGACAAGTTGGCAACAAGAACGAACCATAGATAACACAATCCAATTATTTAATAATTCACAAAAGGTTCTGTGATCACCAATATATAATATACTGCCATTTTAATGTAGTGCAAATATGCTGGTTATAAAAAAAAGCATTAAAATCAATCTATACAAAATGATTCGAAAAGGAATAAAAGCTACACTGCTTTGTCAATTATCTATATTCAACAAGTATTCAAATTTAAAAATGAAAATATGATGGAAAGCATTTAGTTGTGATAGGAGAATAATAGAATGTCGTTTTCTAAAAGCAGTTCCAATAAGGTTCCCTTTAATGTTATTCATCTTAGGGCAGTCTCTTTTATAAGTTGGTGTAAATAAGATTTTACTTATAATATGAGGGGAAAATAGCATTTGAGTGCTTTCTGTATTTATTACAGTCCTGGAAGGTGATAAAAGTCAAATCTTGAATCAGAATGGCAGTACAATTGTTGTATAATTAATGCTTGGTTTCTGGTGCCTCAGCTGTGAAATTAAGACACTGAGTGTGAAGGTAGCCAGAAGTTCAGGTTTGATAATTTGGCGGACAATGATGTTATGTCCATATAAAGATTTCACAGTTATTTTTGCAGAGACATGGGATTTGGTTTATTACACATAAAAGGAGGAAATAGTCAATTAAGAACTTCACTGTGTTTCTAAGGACAACAGTGTACAATATAGGCTTTATGGAATAAAAGTTTCTCCATACTTTTTTTAGAAAGTCGTCTCTAGCAAATTAACATTAAGGTAAATTGGCCATAAATGATTTTTGTGTTTATTTAAATAAATTATTTCTTTATCTCTGACAATGTTTGAGGTATTTCTGTCATTGTTTTTAAAGCATATAGAATAAAAGGAACTAGATATCTTAATGTATAATTATCCCTTAATTTATCTAGGTAAGCCAATTGAGAACAAGTGCTCATTTACAATATCATTTTATTTGTAAAACAAAACTTAATTTGTTGTGAAGAGATTTAATTTGACCCATACAAATAAAGTGTGGTATACATCCTGCTGAAAACAGTGTGCCTTTTAGGGGAAAATGTTATATTTAGCATCAGTTTAATACAGATAGATACATAAAACAAACTCACTGGAAAACCCTGTTATGAATTCAATCTGAATTTCCAAATTTCAAGGTGGTGACCAGTTCACGTCAACATAACACTCATCGTCACACATATGGATTTAAGCAAAAGTTGCCTTTGTTTTTCAAGTTTGGATATTTATAGAATAGGAAGAAAGGAAATACTAGTAACAACACTTAATCCAAATTGTCAAGCTCTCATCTCCTCTTTGTATATACTGGTATCTGCTGACTGTACTGGCAATTCAGGACCAAGTCCTCCATTTTGAACATGAATTTGAAAGTATTCTTTGGCACATGGCCTTATTCATTCAAAAGCACACTGCAGGCCCGAAAGTTAACATGATGCAAAGAACTATGGTGTGATTTGGAGGTAGGACAGAACAAATGGTGAATAAAAGTGAATGGTGAATAAAAGTGACAGTAGTAACTCTTCTAAATGAATGCAAACCAGCTTCTGAAATTGAGTCAGCTGCTAATTTACTAAATCTTATGTATCACCCACATTCTAGTCCTCAATGGGATTATAAATATTCTCTTTCATCTAATTCGTATTTTTTTTCATTATTTGTTTACTTTGTTTGTTTCAGTTCTTTCAGTAGTCTTAAATTGAACATGTAATGTAGTTATGGGGAACATAGCACTGTAAGTCTCTGTGTGTTCAAATTTCAGTGTAATGTTACCTGGCACATTGTGAAGCATATTGTTTCACTGCAAAATCCACAACACCAATTTAAGAATTTAAAAGAATGTTCGAAAAAGGAGGATGAGACTTTCAGTCACAGGACAGTCAAATACATTGATAATGATATTTGGCAAATGACCTGGTAAAGCACCTGACTTAATTTCAGAAAGTGCTACAAGTTTATGTCTAACAAAATAGCGTAATCACAGAATAGTGCATCAGTGAAAAATCCTTTCTTCTCATATTCTCTTTTATTTATTTAAATATATGAATTAAAAAATCTCTTCTATGTGATTCTTATTTAAAATTATTTCTTCTTAT